AACCAACGACGACGACAAATCCAGGTTCCTCACCAATCCGACAAGATGACGAAGATCAACAGCTGTATGTACCATCAATCGATTGTTACCGCAATTCTGCAACATTTTCATTTTGAATTTGCCAGTAATCCCATGAAATCGCGAAGCTAACAGCAATTTTTTTCCAGCCCTCCACTCCTCCAGGAGAAAGTCCCGCAAGGCTCATTTCGATGCCCCATCCAGCGTCAGACGTACCATCATGAGCGCTCCTTTGAGCAAGGAACTCCGTGAGAAGTACAACGTGCGTATTAATTCTCTGCGATTTTCTGAATTTTCAACATCTAACAGAATATTTTTCAGGTCCGCTCCATCCCAATCAGAAAGGATGATGAGGTTACCATCGTTCGTGGTTCCAACAAGGGATCTGAGGGAAAGATCACCTCCGTCTACCGTCTCAAATACGTCGTCCACGTCGAGCGTGTCGTCAAGGAGAAGTCCTCTGGACAATCCGTTCCCCTCGGTATCCACCCATCCAAGGTCATCATCACCAAGTTGAAGTTGGACAAGGACCGTGAGAGCATACTTGAGCGCATCAAGGCTGGTCGTGAGATCAAGGAGAAGTTGAAGAGCAAGGCATAAATTTGGCATATAAAATTGGGTTGGGATTGGCGTGCTTTCGATGAGCGTTACATGCATTAATCCCTGGCTTCTGCCAGCTGGATGTGCTAGGCATAGTCAAATGAAAAATTATGGCCATTTCACATCCTTCGTGCTTGCACGTCTGGTACCACTGTGAAATGCTCCATGGGAGTCCTCCCGAAGCAACAAGTGTCTATGATACTTGTGACAACATGTTGTTGTGTTGTTGATTGCTATACCTGTTTTGGGAGGACTGACCCTCTACTAACTTGCTCTAGGGTTATTGTGAAATACATATTCGTTTTCGTGACCATTTACGCTCATATATCACCTTGTTGACATTTTCTACCATTGTTTTCGAGATAAACGACGAGCGAAGAGGAAATCCAAAGTTTTCCTTATGAAGTTAACTTTCTTGCCTGCAGACTTTCCTCTAGATTTCACTAAAATCTCTGAAGAACGAGAGTTTGATGGCAAGGGACATCAGTGTTGTTTTATAATTATGCTATCTACTCGTCTTATCGACAGCAATCGACGAACTCTACGCTAGAATTGTCCGATACAATTTAGTAAACTACCAGAAATATACTTCATTCAAAATCCAAATCAAAACTTCTCAACATATGGTCTGACATCCAACTCCTGGGTGAAATGTGATCTGTGTTGTGTGTGCAAATACCAATATGCATCCGCAATCTATACATCATGTCAGTCATTGAAGGCGAATTCACATAACAAGTACTTACAGCATCGGCCTTGATCTTTCCATCTTCAACCCCTCCATTCGCTTGCCACTCCTTAGTTCTAGGAATATCAATTACACCGTCAATGATCGCATGCGCAACATGTACTCCTTTAGGACCAAACTCTCTAGCCAAACTCTGTGTGGTTGCTCTCAACGCAAATTTACCACTCGCGAATGATGACATTAGAGCACCGCCTCTTAGGGATGCTGTAGCTCCTGTGACGATGAGGGAGGGTGGATGTGGGGAGTCAGCCACGGAATCCAGAAGGAGTGGTAAGGCTTTTTGTGCAAATAGGTAGAATCCCCTCCTATGCGTTCTTTAGCTTTTGTTCTGAACTCATCTTCCCACCATCTGTCTACTCAAATAGTTGAAAGAAACACTACACTACTCACCCATTACTCTCATACCCCGCCTCATAATCCTCCAAACTCAACTCCAAAAATGGCTTCCTCACAAACTTGCCCCCTACATTGTAGACCGCAGCTGCCAATTTCTTGGAACCGTATTGCTTCTTGATTTCTTCAAATGCGTTGGATACGGAAGAGGGGTCAGAGACATCAGTGCTGATTCCGATTGCTTGTCCTCCGGATGAAGTGATAGCTTTTATGGTAGGTTCATAATTGGCGGGATTACGGGCTAAGAGCACGACGGGGTAGGTGGAAGCAAACTTGACGGCGACGGAATGGCCTAAAGGAGGGTGTGTATTAGCATCTCTATTCTCCGGCAGTGATTGTGATATTAGACAACATACCAGTACCTGCACCAACACCGGCGATGATGCTAAAGAAATTGCTGGATGGAGGCATGTTTGTATTGTTAGTTGAATTGTAGCTTAGAATGGACAAAACTTGTGGTAAACGATCAGAAGACGTGGATTGAGAATCCGTGATGTAGATGAGGGGTACAAAACAAAGGGAACACAGCACGTTAAGAGGGTTTATATGAAAATTGCGAGATGGGACAGCGATATGGGACAATGTGTTTGATTGATAATACTATATGCATGAATATTCCGCTTCGTTCAATCAATGGACAGTAAAGCTGATGATTAAACATTTAGCTATGGCATTTGTTTGAAGAGAAATGACGATTGCAGCTTGATGATGGAAGCTTTGTAAGAAGCTCGGTGGGGTGAACACCGATGAGACCGATGATGAGTAATCTGGTGACGTGAAGATGGTGTTTTCCGTTCTTACCATCAATGGCCATGGGTGGAAATAGCGGTGCAATCTTATGAAGAGACAGATGAGATCAACGACAAGCGAAGGATGAAGATATAAATACCTACCTATACTTCAATGTATAGAATCGTCTGAAAATCGTCTGAAAAACAGCATGCTGGTCAATGATGGTCGGTTAAATAGGTCTAGAAAGGAACATTTGCGATTTGACCTTTACTATCATCGCCACCACGATCTAGACCATAGATCTGCTTCTAACTAAGCACTGCCATTCTATCATTCATGCTTCACGACCAAACTCTTTTGACCTCAAATTTCATCCCTTATCTAACCAATTCCAAATACTGTCCCTAAATATCATAATGTTAACATTTGTTGCACATCTGAAAAACAGCCGGAGACTCGTCTCCTCGATGGTTTGATATCAAAATGGTTCAAGAGCAAATCAATAAATACCATTAACACGCCTACGACCGAATAAAGTCTGGATCGTCTTTTCTCCAAGTTACACGAGGTTTGAATGTGTTATTATCGGATGATAAATTCCGGAGATTTCATTCCTTTTAGAAAAGTACAATGAAACGGATCTTTTACTCCTACGTTGTAGAAACTGGAGCGTAAGACGATCATACCCCACGTATATTTACTATCTACTCGTTCTATGTAGATAGCTGCGGATGTGAATGTGGGAATCATAGACCCCTATTTCTGGGGGGATCCCTCGCATGGGGGCTATTCGTAGGAGAGAAAACAGGCGGAATTCGACCATTTCTAAGATATCCTTTACAATTCAATTATTTCCCTTCAATATAATAAAAAATAAAATTTCGAAATATTTTCTGAACAATAAAAAGCTGGTATTTCTTTTGATTTCTTTGAATTTATATAAATCATTTATAAATTATTTTTTATTCAATTAAGTTAGAAGATTTCAATGAAAAATTGAATTATCAAATTCCGCCTGTTTTTTCTCCTACGAATAGGGGGGATAGGAATTGAAGTTTGATATTCAGTCTATTTGTATGGGGAATTGAAGAGCCGATGGATAAGAGACTAGGTGAGTGTAATCAATGAAATGAAAGCTAAAGAAGAAGATGATAAGAATCAAATTCTCCTTCATCGGAGTAAATGCACTCGCTATTCTTCTTCTCTACATGCAAATATGATCAAGTGATGGATTATCATACATAACACGTGATAAATGGACTTTTATGGAGATCTATGGAGTAGAGACATGCAACAAATACTTGTCTTTTCTTGGAGGAACATCATGTCTTGATTCATGATTGGCTGTATTCTTCCATCATCTGACTCTGTGCAACGTCGCCCGACCAATAATCTCCATGACATCAAGACTTATTGTTGTACAGTTGTATAGAAAGGAACCCGTGCCGCAAACCTCAAACACCACTATCATTCATCACCCACACCACCTCGATCCATCTGTATTCCCAACGACTAGCCATTCTTCCAATCCTCTTCCCGCAAGCCATCTCCCGTCATACACACATTCCTTCTTCAGGACCAAGTGGATACACCTACGATATGCAACAAACGCCGAACACCCTCACGCTTCCCCTCCCATACTCACTAGCTTTTGCATATATAAGTTTCATATTTGTCAGCTCATATCCCATTCCCTGAAGCGTCTTTGAAAATCTACCCCCGAGATGAATATCTGGGGCTTCAAAATGTAACCTCATGGATGCACGAAGATCTCAATCGGGATAAGTCAGAAGCACAATGTGACAAAACCGCCATAAGTTCATCCGATACGATATGCAACAAAACTTTTTCACTCACAACACCTTGCGACGTCTAATTGGTGGTGTTTATGCGTGAGATGCATTTTAAGTCGAGTGCGTCGTGATTGAAGCAAGGGATACAAAGGGTTATATGGATGTCAGAAGCTGGGCTGCGTAAGGCGTTCAGCCTTACGCGCCAATCGTTATCATTTGATGCAATGCTTCTAAATTTGTTGTTGAAGTCGTCCCGGAATCATAGTCCTGGAAGTGCCATTGTGAGAGAAGATGGCAAACTCATACCACTCGGAATTCAAATTCATAGTTGAAACTGGACGTATGGTTGGGGAATATGCAAAAATCTACATGTGTTGATTGCAGTTCCGTGTGCTCTGTCTGGTTGACAATGAATTCGAACATGGAATACTGCATATTGAAATGCGTACATGTAGAAAACAACTGTCTCCATCGAGACTTCGATAGTACATACAGATAGTTCACTGTTATGGAGAAGGTCTGAATTCAAGTCAAAGTGTTTTGTGAGCATTGAAGTGTCTCTTTAATTTTTTCTTAACTACGATATGAACGAGCTAACATGAAGTTCATGTGTATATGCCCCATCAAAGGTGATGCGAAGACGCAAGTATGAAACCATCACCACATTCCCTTTTGAATTTCTCCCCATAACAAATTAGTATCCATCCATCATCATCTCAGACACCACAAAGGTCTAATAAGTGAAGTTTCCAGGCAATGACACGAGCTTCATTGAGTGACTCACGAACTGTCACGTGGGGGACTGTGGCTAGATGTTCAGGAGAAGCCTTATTCCAATCGCATGGGCAAGGGGCAGGTAAGTGTGTACGAGGACAGTCCAAATTCGAGCAATTTGGTGCCAAGGGACAGGCCTCGGTGTATTTGTACTCACAGTTTTGGTGGTAACAGATCGCACCCGACAAGACCGAAGGGCATACCTCACTGCAATCGGTTGCTGTTGCCTTGTATGCTGCATTGAGAGTGTCCTTGATCATGGTGAATTGTTCACTGGTCATTTGGTCAAACTCAGTGGGGAACTCCATACCAATATTTTCGAGCAACTTGAGCACCTTGTGGTAAGCCTTGCTCTTGAGGATCTTTGGAGGAATTGTTGGTCGCGGAGCAAATGGACGCATAACGGTAATGGGAGAGAATATGTGTGGCGAATAAGTCTAGAGAATTGTCAGATTTGCATTGTTCTTACTAACGGGTGTGAAACTTACCAAGGTTTGGTTTACTTGCATTGAAACATCAGGCCAGGGGGATGGGCCAGTAGACTCTGGGACGAGCCATGTGGATGGATCGACTTCGCCAGCAGCGACTGGTTTGTGCGGATCGCCGTGGGTAATTGCGCCACCTGATTTGCTAGCTCTGATAAGAGTGGGGACAAGACGGTCAATGGTAGGATTATTAGAATGACGGCGCTCACCAAACATCTTTAATAGAAAAGCGTTTGGTTTATCAGCAGCAGGTGAATCGGTAACAGCCATGTTGGTAATGGGTAGATCGGCAGCAAGTAGATCTGTAGTAGTTATATCGGTAATAAATAGATCAGCAGCAGGCAGATCGATAGTAGTCATATCACTAATGGATAGATTGGCAATAGGCAGATGAGTAGTAGCTATATCAATAGAAGATAGATTGATAGCAAGCAGATGAGTGGTAGTCATGTTGGTATGAGGTAGATCGGCAGCAGGCAGATGGGTAGCAGCCAAATCAGCAACAGCCTCGATTTCAACGTTGGAAGACTCTTGAACATCAACAACGGAAGGGTCTGCAGATTGACCAACGGCATACTAATCACTGTTAATACACAATAATCCATTCACGTGAATTGAAGAGAAAGATCGTTCTTACCTGTGAAACGGGCACATCTTCAAAGGCTTTTCTAAACAAAGACTTCTGATTCTCAAGGAAAGTGATGGTCTTGTTTAAGATGTCGTTGCTTCGAAGCACTTCGTCACACTGGAGTGTTGCAGTACGGTAATCTTCTTCAGCTTTATGAAAAGCGGCATCGACCGAAGCATGCAGAGTTCTAATGACGGGAGAATCTTCGAGATTTGAGAGTGCCTGTAAGAATTTATTGTCAGTATAGATTTGGGTAGACCACAAGGACAAGACATTAAACTTACAAACTCATCCATGATATGTGCCAAGAATTGTACTCTCTTCTTCGCACTTTCACATTTGTTCAACGGAACAGGTTGAAGCAATTCTTGCATTGAAATTGATGCATGTTCAAAGACCGCCAGACCTTGTGACAAAGTATGAGCGGACATGGTGCTGTGATAGGAAAACGATGATTAGTATTTGAGCATAAAAGGGTAGAGGCAAGGTCTGATGCAAGGATTCATGTATAATAAACGTCGATCATGACTTCTACACAACAGCAATATCGACGATCTCAGGCTTGCTGTGTTCTTAAAAGTAAGATCGACAGGTGGGGAGAAAGGGATTCTGCGACAACGCGTGCGCCTTATGGAAGAGACTTACCTTTTTGCGTTCTGAACGACTTCCATGTCCCTCTTTATCCGTTGCGCGAAGAGCAAATGGTCATCAATTACATTCGAATTCGTTCCTCACAGGGACGTAAGGTAGTTGTCGATTTTTTTTCAGGATACAAAAATTGCTGTGGGGGAGTATATCAGTTTTGGCGACGACAACAATAATCCTCGCTTATTTAGTCCATTGGATTTTCTTTGTCTATGAATCAAAAATCAGTTTTAAAATAATTAGGGCCTATCGGACCGAACAAAATAAAATTCTGGGTTGATGTCCGAATCTTCTCGTACGATCTTCCAATCTTTCTTTCACTTTTTGTTGTTTTCAAGCAACCTCACTAGCTACCTTTATTCGTTGCTTCGAAGCTCTTCAGCTGTGGCCTTTTCAGGGAGCAATGACAACCAATACTGCGAACAAGACAGTGAGTACTTTAATCATACATGACGTGGTTGCCCTTCGCTGTTTGAGGGAGGGACTTGCGGCTCAGTTAGCAGCTTTCAGCAACCAGCCACTCCCGTTCACCTGCAAAGACCCGACAGTCTACAACGTGCAGCACCGGTGCCAATGCATTACATTCATCTTCGACAACCGACGGATACACGTACAAGTGAACATCGATCCTATACCAACCCACACCATAACAGTGGTCTAGAAGTCATCATCATATCACACAGCGGATACCTAGTCAGAACCTCTATCCCATACCTGTCATAAACCATAGACAACCATGGTCAGCTTCTCTGTATAGCCTAGGCTGCGCAATGGGCACCCGTGGAGCGGATAATGGCTTTGACAGATAATCTGTGGATAATCTATCGTCAGAGCACTCCAATCAAACACACCATTGGTGTAGTTCTCACTCACACAAATCAAGTTATTGACCAACGCGATCGACAGAGTCCGTTAGACGTCAAAAATGGAACAATTTTGAGTGACCAGCAGCCTTGCTGTGATCAGCTAAAAGCCCATCAATCCTATAGCAATAACTTAGGGCAAAAGGTTGTGCACGAAGATTCCCGGCGAAAAAACTGGGCGTTCGACTTCCGATGGTCATTTTGAGTTTTCCACCGCTTGCATGGTTTTCTTGCCATCCAATCTGTTCAAACCAAAGCCACGTGGGTCTAAGGTTTCTCCCAAGGAACCGATTCTCCCTGACAAGGCGACTCTGACTGGTGTGATTGTGAATCTGACATCAAACGGCGACAACGAAGACCATCCTACCCGGTTGAATGATGAAGCAATCAACGCGGTCACGCTCATGTTTCGAATTCCAAATAACACAGTTGTATGTACTACTCAATACATTGAACGAGGTGATTTTCTTTTTTGGTAGCTAATTAAGTAACAGTTCGCAATGAGCGAATGAACCAGCTGTGTTGTTGTATTCCCTGTGCTCGCTATATATTCATTGTTCAGCCATATGCTGCAGTCGACGACTACATTGGCAAGGAAGTGCGGTGTTTGGTTTCACACGATAAATTGAGATGATGCTTTCGGTTCTATACACAAGGTGGTGACAAACAAACATTCCATGTACAGATCCAATGGATGGCTGCGGTGAAACATGTAGGATGATGGATTGCTGTGATTCACGAACTCCATGCTTCGGTGATAGAACCTACATCATCGTGTCAACTTTTCTGCGGAATGCTTTCGTATACTGGTATTCTCTATACCAGAGCTTATATGTACTTGTATCAAATAAAATACCTCTGGCATTAAGGAATGAGGGTTTTATAGAAAGGGGAGAATATATTGGTTTCTCTTCTCCAACATATAAAGGGAGAGGAGAAAGGGAGAAATGGATTTGAACAGATATCTAGAAAATTTTCCGTAGGTAAACAAACAAGTGAATTTAATCTTTAATCAATATCATTTGATGCAACGCTTTTAAATTCGTTGTTGAAGTCGTCCCGGAACCACAGAAAACTCATGGACTTGAATATAGGATCAAAGAGATGTTTCACCCATCACATCAAATCACATTACATGAGCCAAACTTCTCTTCTCGCTGAATTAGAGCTCTTGTATTTACAGTACCGAATCCTTAGTCCGAACAGATCGTCTCATTCTTCTCCCCGCAATTTAAATCACGGACGCCCGTTCACGTCACACTCGTGGTCAGCACCGGGTAGAAGACGGTATCTAACAAGTAGCCTAGAGTCTTTGTTCCATTTGACACCCTGTTCACACATCAACCGGGAAACTCCCATGTTTTCTAGCCCATTCCCCTTTCGCGCGGGGATATGAAAGGGCGGGAAAGGCTGAAAGATAGATGTTCTGCTTGAAACAAGATTGTCTGGTAAGCACGGCGTTATCTTCTACCGGCCCAGCATGGTAGAGCTGTTATGTGCCTCAACCAATCATTGCATTATGGACCGATCTAGCGAGAACTCAATCTTCCACTTCTCTACGGCCTACAATAAACAATGCTCCTTTTTACCCATGTGTACCAGACAATTTTTGTCCAAAGCAGATCTGCTTATTCGGATTCTGGTGCGAAACTTCACCATGTTTTCTACAACAGCATCTCACCGCACTCCCTAGGTACCAATTTAGGTGCTCTTCTCTGTTTCTACAACCACCGTTTTAGCTAATAATCCATCCGCGGCCATCTCTCCTAAGCTCTGAATTGATTCCGCACCCATGATCTCCAGCACGGTCAATCCTACGCCAATTCTCTGCCTGCACCAATTTCTCAGCTCACTAGCCACAAGTGAATCACCCCAAGCGTCCTAAACGACTGGTGGATATCGAGCTCCGCAATTGGCCGCATCATGAAACTGTACAGCGTTTTGCAAATCTCCAATATGGCTCTCGCTGGCGTAGCCATCTGCAACGAAGCTAGATGCTTGAGAAATTAATTTGGATTTGATAATGGCAACTCCAGAGTCTCGAGGAGATCATATTTCCGGAGGGTCTGAATTCCGTTGGCCTTGAAAACTTGCGGAACTTCCAGTCTTCAACAAGTTGACTCTCGTCTCAGTAGCTTTCTTCGTAGTGCCGAGGGTAGGTTGAAAGATTTGTAAGGACTGATTCTCTAGAGTTTATGGAACTTGAATCGATGGTTAGTCCCTTCAAAAACAAATTACCTGCTGCAGTGAGCAAACTTGTAGTTTCACTTTCGTCTCGAACCATTGTGGGTATGTAGATCGCATCAGGTTGGCGGCGCCTAAATATCTGACGCAGTGATCTGGCAAGAGCAGAGTGTGTTCCTATCTCAAGAAATGAATTTGTAGAGGAACGAGTTGACAATAAGTTCCCCATAGTAGCATTGAAAAGAACGTGAGATTCCATTTTTTGCGCCAGTAAGATGCGTCCAATCTTCCTTTCTGGGATACGATCTCATTAAACACAGTCGAGTAGAACGGAATGTTTGGAGTAGAGCTTGAGACATGGGGTTCGAGTAGCGCTTGGTATTCTTCGCCCAGATCCTCGAGTGTCGCGAACTGCAGCTATCGCTTACGTACTATTATGGACAATTGACCACACGAAATCAACCGCAGAAACTAATCCTCATAGTACCAAGCCCCAATCAGAAGGTAATTCCAACCCGCAAAGGACTATATAAACAGTTCTCAGCAGCTTCAAGAGAAGAAAGTGGCCCTCCTCATTTACAAACTAGTCATTTCGAGCTACTGATACCTGCATATGAGAATGAAATTTGATAGGTCAAATAATCGAACGATTCGATATTTGAACTTGTTTTTGATGATCTTTCATTTGTTTGACTTAATTCATTCAGCGGAATATCATGTTTGTTTCAATCCGCGTTCTGTGAGTATATTATTTGATAAGAAGAATTTTGAAGCCAGTAAGGTCTATTCTCTTCTAAAAACCGAACCGAATGCAATCTTATCATAAGAGCGTCCTTGGGAACATACAGGTAGGACATCAAATGCTGATGGTTCCGTGTATCCTGATTGACCCGAACGCGGCCAAAGTTGTGTTCACTTGAGTCAGGTGAAACATTTTTCAGGGTTGGGACGGTAACCATTGGAGTGTGGAGAGGTAGATCATCAAGGGGATGGCTTTCTTGTCCATGTGTATGGATGAAATTCTTTTTGTGAGAGTTCTCCAAATGAAATCCATCTGAATGAGAGAAATGCAGTATTCGCATGGAAGAAAAGTACGAAAAGTGACGAAGTCCAATATATTACTTAAAGTAGCCGGGCTCTCGACTTCTCTACCAAAGCTTATAATATTCATGACTTTTGAGATTTATATTCAACACCACTATTACCTTCTATGATGTAATAGGGTGCTAATAAGAAGGCTCCACAGTAACCAGTGACGAATTTCTCATAAAAGTACTTCCAGCATACGCTGCAACCTTCAAATACTGAGCCTCACTACTAATAGGATAGCTAGTTTCGAAAAGATTGCCTCTCTGAACAGTAGCCACTTCCACGAGATTGCTCTCACTAGTCCCTGTATATATAACCCAAGCCGTATAATCGGTTGCTCCATTCCAACTCATGTATGCGGTGTCGTTAACTCCTACGACATCTGGATTCCAAGGTGGCGTCGCATTCCAGGATTGTTTGTAGGCGCGATATGAATTGGCGGTATTATCATAGCCGAATTGGATTCGTAGACGAACGTCATCATTACCATCGGGACCGAATTCAGTAAGACGAGTAATGGCACCCCAGCCCATGAATGTATTGCCATTGTCGAGTGGGCTGAATGCTCCTTGAGAACCGCTGAAATCATTGTAGGCAGAATCGTTGAGAATTTTTTCCACGACTAAAGTTTTGTCTACAAGGTTAAGAGAGAGTTGTAGACCATTGGATTGGCTGGCTACGTTTTCATCTGAAAATTCACTGAAGTGGTTGTTAAAGTAGTGAAGGACGGCACTTGTGTTGGTGTAATTGCTGATGCGAGCATGATGTTGCCATTCCTGATATGTGATTAGTTAATGACATATGATGGCTTGGGAAATCAATTACAAAGTTTGCTTCCTTAGGAACCACGAAATCACTTTGTCCCTCGGTGTTGTTGCCCTCAATTCGCCATTGAATCTCACCGGCACTATTGAGATACCAAGTAGCCCAGCAGTGACGACTGTTAACAAGATATCCATCTCCAACAGATGATACAGCATTGATATGGAACCAGTCGAAAGGATCACTCGAATTTAAACCAGTTCCAGAGTTAACGCCTGGTATAATTTTGGAGTATGTGATAGGAATACCAGAGGCAATAGAACTCCAGCTGAAAATTATATCACCGGTTGCAATGTCAATCTCGTAGAACTGAGAGTCGTACACATAGCCAACACTTGGACCGCCAATTGGGCTAAGGTCCATAGTGGTAACGTTGCCTGCACTGACAATTAGGGTGTTTGAAGGTGTAATAAATAATTCGTGGGAATCGCCAAAACATGCGAGATCCGTCAAATTGGCACTTGGTGGAGTGATAAGATTTAATTTTGGACAGATCGTTGTGATTGGCGTGTAGGTATCATCCAGTATGGTGAAATTTCCATATGCAACACCGTGGCTTTTACGAACACCTTGCCAGTATGTCAACACAGGTTTGCCCATGTACTCTTGAACCATAAGATTCGTACTAAACAAGGGAAGATGCGTGGAATCTTCAGCAAAAGCATATGGGCCCTGCCACACAAGTTGCCCATCCTCAGTAAAAATTCCACATGCACTAGCTTGAACAGATCCAACGGCGGAGACTGCGGCGTTGAGATCCGACTTATCCAAGTGATTCAGAACTGGATTGATGAGAATCAAGCCTGGTTGAGTTTCTCCCGTCTTCGTAATATCGAAAGTGGGGGGTCGAAAATTGACCGTAACGTAGCTCTGGGTGGGCCACAAGTTGAGTGTAGTGGACAACGACATCTTGAAGTAACGCGAAGAGAGACTAGAGAGACTAGAGACATTGGAAGTGTTGTAAAGTATGGAGGAAGGTTGCAGCGGAGAGAAATTCGATCCCTTTATATCTCCGATTTATATCTACTCCACAAGATCTTCTACTCGCTGTCTGATATAGAAGTCATGAACTGCAAAACATTACCAACGAATGAATAACTTTACCAAATATGTATCATGTCGACAAGTGAGATGAAACCTCACGTGAAGTTCAAAGCATAAGGGCTCTAGATTTAAGGAATCTGTTATCAATCTCCAATTCAGAAAAGTGTGCCCCCTGCGATCTTCCGCTTTATGATCGATGGCCAGGCGCAATGCCTGCTCCTGTCATCCTTAACTAGAAACCATGGATGATCTGGTGCATTTTAGGTGATGGTCTCATCCTTTATAGTATGCACCATCTCTCGGTTAATCGATGATAGGAAGCGACTTTGTTTAAAACACTATGTTTTGCACCAAGGACTATAAATAAATAGCGGTGAAAGGGCGCCAGCATTTCGAAAATTTGACTGATTTTTCAAATCAAGTGAAGTGCGCACAGCTCAAGCAAGCTGATTGTATATTATATTGATTGTGCTTGGCTGAAGCTCTGCCCGTATGATCAAAGGTTTTATGATCGAAACTTATATGATTGAAGAGGTGTTGGGTGAGGAGGGAAGGGGGCTGTGTGGAGTGTGCTCTCTTGTTCTCGAGTGGGTACCGAGGCCGATAACGCGCATTTGGCATAAAACCCAAAAATAGATTTCTGCCTTCGCTAAAATCTTATTTAGAATTTAGTGGTGTGTATATAAGAAATAAATAATTCAACTCAATACACAACCTTGAAAGAAATAATAAAATAAAAAGAAAATAAATCCTTCTATTAATTATTATAGAAATCAAATAATATAACTCTTTTTGAATTATCTCAAAAATTGAAATTTATATTCAATTTAATAATATTTCAAGAATAAGAAATTCAATATTAAAATTTAATCTTTTTTTCAAATTCATTATAGTATTTCTATATTAAATATAAATTTCAATTTTTGAGATAATTCAAAAAGGATTATATTAATCGATTCCTTAAATTTGTAACACTTTGCCTTAAAAGAACTGTAAGAGTAGGGTACAATTTATTCTTAAAATCTACAATTACAAAATCGAAAGTAAAGTATTTGTTAAGTATACCTATATATCAATTATGTATACATAATCATACATATACACACATACACACATAAATGATTATAATTATAATTAGATATCAATTTGTAATATTATCCCCCCCTCCAAAAAAACTTACCCTCAAGCTTTATAATTATTTATTTTCGTTATTGAATTGGTAATTGCAAAATAACATTATCATTATTTAATTAGAATAATATAATAAATAGATGTGTACATAGGTTTTTCTTTTTCGCAACAGAAAGGTATATACGAAGTAAAAGAAATCGTTCTGTAGCCTAACAACCAATTGAATCTTTTGAAACATATAGATTAATTGAATCCCTTTTTTCTTCTAAATTTTTTTTTAATTAATTAATTTTTTTATATCTTTTATTAATATATCTTTAATTTCAAAAAGAAAATACGACAACAAAAATAAACTATCACCAGTACAGATTTAGTAATAAAAGAATATATATATAATAATAAATTATTTATAATTCTTTCTACATTTATTTTACTGATTTATTCTCCTATTTAACTTGTAATAAAGAAAACAATTACTTTTTCTATTACATAAAACAAATAGTCTACTAAAAAAAAGAAATCCGAAAAGAAGGAATCCTATTATGGGAATGATTGTGATTTTGATGAGGAATGTGAATAAGACTTTTTATTTATTTGTTTTTAGTATATAATCAGCTTATTTAATAAGTGTGATTATAGTTGTTGAGGATGATAACCTCAAAAATAAAATCGATCTTCGATTTGTTTATTGGATATATTTGTTCTATTATATTCTCAAACAAAATTTCGAGAAAAAATATAATCCTTTGATTGATCAAGTTGATAATTATAAAAAGAAATTTACTAACAAATTAATTACAGTAATGTGCTATTTTAGTAATATTGAAAATGATGGGTATAAGATTATTGAAAAGAAGATTATAAAGGCCTTACATCAAGATTAATCTAATTACAAATTCAATATACTTTGTTGTAGAAATATTAGTTTTATTGATATCAATAAACTGAAATCTCTAAATAAAAGATTACCAAAAAAAACAATATTATAATAGAAACAATATATTCAAAAGGATGATTAGGTTTGTGTGGGTTGTATATATAACTATATTTTTAGTAAGGGGGATAATATATACTACCGAATTCCTAATCAATTATTTAATTAAGCTTACTACTTATTTTATCTTATTAATAAATATAAATATAAGCGTTTACCCTTTAAAGAGATTTGTGAAATATTTTTCTAATATTAAATAACTATTACTAAATATGGCAATATAATAAAAATAAATACAACTTTATTGATTTTTAATAAAGTTAATCCTTTTTTAATAGTTTGATTTATAAAAAAAGCTAAGAAACTATATTTCAAAAAAAATACTTCTTATTACCCTTACTCAAAAGAACATAAAACATCGCATAACCAAAGCTGTAATATAGAAAAATAAATTAAAATAATAATATCAATTTGTTTTGATATAAATGAAAGTGGAGCTTTTAGCAATTTATAAGTAATTGTAAGCGATTGAATATAAACTCAGTTTTGTTGTTATATATATTACAATTAAAAATCGTTTCATCTTTTGGCTTGTGGTTATTCTGGATATACTTATTATCATTATTGGCTAAAGATTTAACTAATATTTCGATTTAAACTATTCAATTTTTGTTTTCGTATTTCGTCTGATTATAATTATTGGTACCTATAAAAACTTTTTTTTTGATTTACTTTAAAACTATCATAATATAAAAAAGACTTTTTTTATTATATTATTTTAGCAATTCAGTCTTTATCCAATTACTTTTCCATTATTAATGAAATTATAATTTCTTTATTACTTTAATATATAAAAAAAGTTTTTTTTATTTTTTTTATTTATATATTGATTATTATCTATAAAATCATAATTATTCTTTCCACTCTCATAAAAGTAAATTTATTCGAATAAGTATATAGAGGGTTTTGATAGAGAGGGATTTCACAAATAGAAATCACAAAGAAAATATAGAATAGTTTTGAAATCGGAAATAGGGTATTAGATAAGATTATCATCAGCGTTTAGTTACAATACTCTATATTTAAACTATTAATATACTTTCTTGATAGCTAGAATATATTTTACTTTTTATTCAATATCACTAATAATATTAATTGGAGGTAATAGTTTAATGATTTATTCAGAAAATAGATTGTTTACTACTTTGCAGAATTTATTAAATAAAAATATAGAATAAACTTTTATAATAGATAATAGGTTCAATTAAAAGGAATCTCTAACCCGATTAATAATCTTAAATCTATTCTGAGTTGGGTAATCCAGTTTTTTTAAAGATTGTTGTATTGGAAAGTCTTTTATACTAAGTTATATATAATTTCCTATATCAAAGTTAACTAAACAACAATGCGAATTGGCTAATCAAAATATTTTTTTTTGTGTATATAAAATATTTTTTTTTGTTTAATCAAATGTTAATTTATTATATTTAGTATATTCTTTAGTATTAATTATATTCAAATTATTAACAGATATAATAAAATCGAGTTTCTAATCCCAGGGATTGCAGGGTAGATGGTTATATAAAGTCTTATATAAGAATTGATTATCTAATGATTTGTAAGGAAGTATAAACTGAGTATAGTTTATCATTAATAGGAATTCAAATTAATTATCTTGATAATAGCTTATAAAGGATTATAAATATTACTAAAAGTATTAATTATAAATCTTAATTTAACTATCAATTTGCAAATAATAAATGATAAATAGCTTAACTTACATTCCTAAAATATTATTGAATTCTTATCAGAAAATTGATATGAATTAAGGATTATAATCAGAGACTATAGACTTTGGGGCATTATAATATCTGTATATATAATATAGGTATAAGCAGATCTGATTTTTTGAATTGATTAACTTATAACAAAATATTGAAATAATCTATTTGGTTAATTGGTTGATAATGATAAATATGTTGTTGTAATTATATTTATCTTTATTGAAACTACAATAGTTCATGGTAATGTATTCCTATACTTTTATAGAAATAAAGAGTGGATGAAGTAGATTGGGGATACAATCTCTGGAAACAGAGCTATACTTATATTTATAACAATTCTATATATATTAATTGATTGTGAAAATCATATTCTTCCAATAATATTGCTTAGTTAAGAGAGAATAAATCTTCTTTACACCAGGATATGTAATAGAGATTAAATTGTAGACTTTATAAATTAAATGGGTTTACAAATTGTTAGTATTCGGAATATATAGGTGATTGTTATAAAGCAATAATCCTTTTACAAAAATAAAATACTTATATAATTTGATTATGTGGTTGTATAGAGCTTTTAAATTTAAATGGAATCTGTTTACTTCAATAATACAATTGATTATATCAAAAAGTGGAGATATTATGCTTATATCTAGATTTGCGATAGTATTTAGTTTTTATTGGAAAAATTTATATATAATCCTAGTATCTATCTAATTATCTTTTATAAACTACTATAATTGATTTTTTTTCTTAGTATTATTCTACTAATCTAATTTGTTAGTGTAGCAGGTAAGCATATTTGCAAATAAATTGTTCTTTCCAGTACAATATATAATAATAAAATTATAATTGGTGAGTAGTTTTGTTTAGTGTACTTATCGAATATTTAGCTATTTGGTAAATATAAAATACTTAAAAGCTTTATAATCGATATATACTTTAATCTGATATAAGAATTTAGTAAGTTCGGCTTTCCAATAATCTAGGGATTTGATGATCACAAGCATTTCTTTATT